GCTAATTTTAGGATCAAGGTATTTTGGACGTTATATAACAGTGGTAGTACATTGCTCACGTAACATCATCTCACTGGATGTTTTACAGACAGATGCATTTGCTGTGCTTTTTATCTAAGACGTTTTAAAGTGCTATATCAATGGCTTGAATTAGTTTTACTAGCTAATATATGTGTTTTTTTTTTATATTATTATGATTTTTTTTTTCTTTATTATTAGTGTTATTCCTCTGTAGATTTAATGCAGAGATTGAATTCTTTTGTTCATGAATTTCCACACATTAGGATATCTCAGAATAAGATTTTTGTGTTTTTGTTGTCATTGATCCATCTTCAACATTTCCTCATTAAGTCTCACTTAGTAATATAGATTAAGAGTTGCATATCATAATTTAGAATACAATATCTGCAAAGTAATTTGATGGCATTATATCCTTTGAAAATAGACTACTCTTTTTATATACAATTTTATTATTATTATTATTTTAGTATTTGTTTCTGTTTTTATTGTTTATTGTTTTTTACAATACAAAATAAATACTGTGATTTCTTTCCAAATTTATTTTTCAAAGATTTCAGCTACCACATTTTTTATTCTTTCTAATAACCTTTACATCTTGTGTGTACAGGTATTTGCCAACCATGAGGAAAGGTGTGTACGATTCACCTGCATAGGAACATGGTTGGTAGGTGAAGGTGGCCCAGTGAAGTTCACTATAGACTCAGATGTTGTAACTTCAACCTGGGACTATGTTGCTCTCTACAAGGTATTCAGACATTTATGTGATGTATTTTGCAGTTTCTCGTAATATCAATATCAATATTGGCAAGAGTATATGTAAGAAGTATTGTGTGCGCTGTGTGCTTTTACAGTACACAGTGCACACAAGTATACCTTTTATGATAACTGATCATTTTTGCTGACTACAGTTTTTGCTGTTGTAATTGTTATTTGTTCAGTAAGCAGTTCTATGTCAGTAATAAAACTTAGAATATAACATGTAGTAAAAGATAAGTGTATTTGTGAATGAATGTGTATGTTTGTGTATGTGCTTGCTGACCACTATAGTGATGCTGTTTCAATTTCAGGCTGACTTTACATGTATGCAGCAATACATCACATACATGTATGTTCCTCAGCCATCTCCAGGATCTGGACAACGAACCTTTCAGGTTTGTTATTTTTATTATTTTCACACGTACATGTTGAGATATCGGGTTTCCGAAAAAGTGAACAGAGTTAATATTCCATGTACAATGTTATTCTGAAGTTGTTTTAACCTCTGTGATACAGATGATGTGATCATCATGTCTTGAAAATTTTTGACTTGAGGGATAGGAGATGTGAACAGGACATCTTGGGAAATTTTGTCAAAGGCCCTGGGTGTGACAGGAACTTCCTGTCAGGAGAATTTCAGCTGAATGCCGGGGTGGTGGGAATGACTCACCACAAGTAAACAAAAGTCTTGGAGGGTGATTAGACTCTGTAGCCATTTAGAAATAGGCTTTTACATTATTACCATCAATAAATGAGTGTAGAATGTACCATCTGTGATCCGTGACTGGAAGAGTGCTGGCTCCAGGGAGGAGGATTACCATCCTATTCCTGCTCGTCATAACCAGTGTCACTGGTTCTATTACAAAAAATAGAATTTTATGAAAAAATTAAATTAAAAGTGATACAAATGATATTATTATTATTATTATTATTATTGCACTAAGTTATGGAATACCTAGAGAGATAATATGGAGTCTGTGTAAGGGGAAAGTAGTCCATTGCCATCTGGATAAAGCAAATGAAATGACTAATATAGACGCTGAAAAAAAAAACTAAAAACACATAAAAAAGAGAAAACAACACTGCATTTTGGGCCACATGATGGCAGTGAAGTGTAATTGCCATGTCATTTTATATAAACAATGAACCTGCAAAGTGTGGGACAAATAAATAAGTAGGTAGGATGAGTAGGTAAATTATATTTTCACTTTTTCATATGTTGCTCCAATGTTGTATTGAGTCCAACCTTTGTTATTTGGCTGTGACAGTTCAATTTCAAGTAATTACAGTTCTTTGAGTATGTAACAAGTGGGACATTGAAACAGCCTTGGCAGCACCTCTCAGATATGGATTTCAGAATGGAAATCATAAATACAAAATATAAGTTATCCTGAATCAAGTATTATTGCTATTAATCTCAGAAAAAAATAATAAACCCTACTCAGTGGATGGATGTTACACACACTTACGAAATATCTTTTTCTAATTCCCTCATGTCCTCAGATGGTGTTCAACGATGAGCTCCTGCAGCACCCAGGGATGTACCGCCTCTTGTACTATTCTGGCAAGTACAGCAGCTACCTAGGAATGAGTGATCCATTCCCTGTTCTCACACGCCAGGATTAGCTGCTATTTTACTGGCAGAGTATCAAGTGTAAACATTTATAATTTAGCAATATCTCCGAGGCTCACGAGACGTAGATACCTGTCAAATCTGGTGTAGAAGGAAATGTACGTGTTCCATAACCAAAAAAGAAAATTCTGATGTGATTGTTTTATCTGAGAAGTTTTATATTTTGTGCAATATTTATATAGGGTGTTAGCTCTACCATAGCCTTGGTTCATTTTATTTTAAATTTGGTAAACTAACAACAGTTGAAGTGGGCAAATGATAATATAATTTATAATACAAGGTTTCTGACATCATGATTGCATCAAAAGTTACTATTACATCTAATATGAATATGAAATATAGGGGGTATATTGAATCCATTCAGACCAGGAGGAAATGTAGGCTCATACATGCTGTGTCCATTGTGTTTTTAGTTTATTAATTCTGTTTACACTCAAATGCTTATTCACAAAGAAGTCAGTTATTGATCTCACCTGTTCACCCAATTCCTTGTACTTGAATTTTATTACTATTAGTATTTTCAATAACATGATATGAATAATGTCAATGATAATAAATATGTTATCACAGATTAAAAAAAATAAATCTCCAAAAGTCAAGGAATATGAATAAAGTCAGGCAAACCTAGTACTAGACTCATAGGTGACTAAGCAGTTTTAGAGCCATTTATGTGTAAACAAAATTGACAAACCAGAACTACAGTAGACTCTTCATGTAACCTCTTCGTGGGTTAGTACTGATATTCCAGCAAGAAGATGAAATTGCATCGTTATTCCTGTTCAAAATCCAGAATAGAGTGAGAGTGAGTGTGTGTGTGTGTGTGTGTGTGTGTATGTGTGTGTGTGTGTGTGTGTGTGTGTGTGTGTGTGTGTGTGTGTGTGTGTGTGTGTGTGTGTGTGTGTGTGTGTGCGCGCGCGCTCGCATGTGCTTGTGCATGCGTGCGTGCGTGCATGCTTGTGTGTGTATGTGTGCGTGTTTGTTTAGATATCAATCGGTTTAACATTATGTGTTCATATTAGTTCACGAAAGTAGAAATATGATTAAATGTTCGTACAGGAATGACTGTTGTACAAGTATGTTATGACCTCTTGTTTCTTTCTTTCTCTTTTTTTTTCCTATCTGTTATGGAATGTGTCTTTTTCTGTCTTTATTAAAGATTTTTTTCAGAGGAGTTAGGATAAACATATGCATTTGTTAATCAAGGTAGTGTTCTGTAGTGTAAAATATTTATGATGATCTATGATGTGAGAGAGAGAGACAGACAGACAGAGACAGGGACAGAGAGAGAGAGAGAGTGCGTGTGTAGTTGCTTGTTTGTTTGTTTTCTGTGTTTCTGATATTTTCAGTGTAACTTACTTTGTAATCTGAAAGTACACAGAGAAAAGACTATTCAATACATGACAGGAATTAGCCTCATCATCAACAAAACTTGAAAAAATATAAAGATTTGCCAATCTCTTTTACATATTACAAGGCCTATTTTGTATCACTGATTTTATTATATTACAGTTTTGAAATTTGCTTTCTACTTCTGATCCATGACACTGTAGAGTGCCTGCCACCTTTTGATGTTTTGTACTCTAATTTTCTGAAACGTTTTGGCATAATCCCTCAGTACTTATACATATATAGCCTTATATATTGCATGCAGATTTATGTACATATTATTGATGATATTTAAGGTATTTATGTTTAGACAAAAAAATGCTTTTTTTTTCTTTGAGTTTGTATTTTTAGTTTAAGTGCAGTTTTGAGAGGTATTCAAAAAGCTTTTTTTTTCTCTGTCTAACAATATATATTTTCATTATCATGGCCTTTCTATACTTGGAGATCTCACTTATTCCATTAAATTTTTAAAAATATTTTTCCTGCAAACTTTTGATTGCAGTTTGTACAACTGCATTAACTAGATACAGTTCTCTGTTGCATTTAAACAGTATATCTAAGAGATGTATAAACCACTTTCATGGTCACTTTCATTTTAAATAGAGGAAAGACAATCAAAAGTTGTTTGCACATCTTTTATCAAAGTATTTTATGGTACACATACCACATTTTAGACTGGTTTGATAATGCCTTATGTTAAATCTGTACCTTCTTTCTATATGTGTTTCTTATTGTGTTATTTGATTTTTGAGTAGTTGCAGATGCTGTATATTCATAAAGGTAAATAGTCATTGCTAAAGTTATTGGTTCTTTTTCTATCTCACTCATTAGTTTGGTTCATATGGTGATTGCTTAGAGTATCCCATTTATGTACACATGAAAGTTTACTCTCATTAGCACCAGAAGGTTAAGATGTTTATTAATATATTTTGAAATTTCCTAAACCAGGATGTATAAAAAGATTCTCAAGATGTTACCTAATATCTCCCTCGAGTGTAAGAGGACTCGCGGAACTGTACTAAGTGAAAGAAAATTTCTTAGGAAACATTGCAAGTGAAAGATAATTTTACTGCTAACAGGAAAACAGTTAGAAACAAAACAGTAAATTAGTACATTATTGGCTTTTGATTAATCCATTGATTAGTTATTCATTACATGCTGTAATTGTTAAGCTTTACAAGATGTGTAACTGGTCATGACATGCTTCTTCCATTTCATGCATTCTGTAGGCAGTAAACTGGAGAAATTAAGAAAAATGTGTAAAAGTATGTGTAACAGTAATTTTCACTCAGCAGATTTATGCTTGATAATGAATTAATCAGTTGGATAAAGCAAGAGTAGCCTAAATTTTATTCATACAATTATGTATTGGCCTATATTTTTTTTTAAATGGTATGTAAGTTTACTTTATCAAATGTGGCATAACAGAAACAACCTAAAAAGGTAAGGATGAAAATATGTAAAATATGTAAATGGGCAGTTATAACAGGTGTTAAAGATTATTTAATTTTGTTTCTTCATCAGTCCTATCATTTTTTAATATTATTATAATTAAAAAGGAGTTATTAATCATACTGAGTCAAATCATCATTTAATGATATCATCTATCTTTGTGATATCTCGCTGTTATACTATCGAGAACAACTCAAATGTATTCCTTCATGGTCAGATTGCATCTCTATGAATTAGATGCCATCATATTGCTTTAAAAAAACATAAGCACAAAAACTGCTAAACTGGTGAATGTGAATGCTGTGGTCATTGGTCTTCTTGGTCCTCTAATAGTTCATACTGCCCTTAGGATGCCTCACCAACTCTCTAAACTTTTTGCTTTATGACAAAGAGAGCAAAAATCATTGTGAGTGATATTAAGATACCCTAAGGGGATAGTATTTTTTGAAGATTGTTATTATTTAGAAATACCAGCCCCGATGTTAAACTTCTTTTCCAAAATAAAGAAAAAAGTAATATAGAAAACTCATATGGCATATGGTTTCTCTTGTTTGAATATATATATATTTTTTTTATAAAGACAGGTTTTTATAACTTAACAGTCAAAAACTCAAAAGTGTTCAAGAATATATCTTTATAAATCATGTGTGTGTTTTGCCCAATATCATGAAAATTCCTAAAGTGAATGTACCTTTTTTTGTGCTGCTTTGAACTCGTGCTGATAATCAGATAAAAAAAAATGCAACAGATTTAGTGTGTGGTTCTGTTAGGCAGTTCAGTTTTATATAGTTTAACATGAATACATGTGTGTTTGTGTCTGCCATCTTGCATGTTTTTCTATATAGAGAAGGAAATAAAAGAGATGCAGAATGTTTGTAAGAATAGCATGTAAATGAAAACATTTGCAGAGGAATTTTTCATATAATGTAAAGTACAAGGCTTACACAAAGTTATCCTGATTATGACAGATAACAGACTGAATAATGTCATGGCAATGCTTCAGGAGCACAAGAATAAATTAGTCTTATTTGTAATGAAATGACAGCAATAGCATGTGTACATCCTCAATACAGATGGTATAATTAACCCATTGCTGCCGGATACATGTCCATTGTTGTTTTGTTTTGTGAATCTTGCGTATATAGAGATGGCTCCACAAGTGGTCAGCCACCAAGGAGTCAATTAGTAGACTAACTGACCTTGAATCTCCCATTCCTTGCTTTTCTTTCTTTTTCTCTCTCTCTCTCTCTCTCTCTCTCTCTCTCTCTCTCTCTCTCTCTCTCTCTCTCTCTCTCTCTCTCTCTCTCTCTCTCTCTCTCTCTCTCTCATTTGTATTATTATTATTATTATTTTTTATCATCATCATTATCACAGTCTGATCATTATCATCATCAAATCATTGACACTGGTTATTTTATTGCTATTAACAATACTAATAGGAATAAAAATAAAACAATAAGTTTTCCAAACATCAAGGAAATGGGTAAAGTGTGAGATCAGGTAGAACTGGTAATTAATTGAGTCCTTAGAGATTAAGCATTTGAGGAGCCATTAATGTGTACACAGAATTAACTAACTAAAATCACAGTACATGCCTTCACGGTATCAGTGGTTTAATATCTAAACACCCTGTATAGTGATATTTACTTCCTGTATTTAAATTTTATTCACAGTCTTTATGCTTATTATGACCTGTATAACTGTTACCAGGTGTGTAAATAGACGTTACAAACAGTAATAGGAAGTTTAATCAAATACCGGTGCCACATAAGTATATTTTATATAGAGTTTATTCCATTATTGTGCATATGAAGGATATGCAAAATATAGAGAGAATTTCTTATAGAAATACATTAAATCTGTTCTAACACTGCTTGCATAGTATTTGTAATATTACATCTCTACATAGTAAAGGACTGCGGTAGATTCATGGCTGTCAGTGAATAGAAAACCAATACAAATAGAGGAACAGGTATTTAGGCTAAACATTAGTTTCATTCTTAAATTCACTGATTATCATTATAGTAGTTTTAATACTCATTGATTAGTTCTGTGTTGTATTCTTGCTGTAGTTTTAATAGATGATAAAACAAACTGGTTGCTTGCAGAACTGATGTAGTGAGCCACTTGTGACCTTATTGTATGACATATATATATCCTATATATTATGTGTGTGTACGAAATTAGATAAATATCAATAAATGAATGTGATTGGAATATGTTTCTAAATTCCATAGAAAAGGAGATTTCTAAGTCAAATGCATATTTTATTTCATTCTAATCGTACACAAAATACATGACTTTCATTGTTGATTGTGTCAAGTGCAAAGTATGTGAAGTAAGCCCCTTTTTCATAATGCTTTCATTTATTATTTATTTTGTATATTGTACTTTTTTCTGTCGTAATATAATGCAAATTAAGCTGTTTAGTTAAACTGTAGGGGTATGTGTGTGAGTGCACATGCTCATGTGTGTGTTGTAGTATATGCATTGAATTTGTGTATGTACATAACATGCTGTGTTACACTAAGCTTTACTTAATGATATTTCATCTCTCAGTTACAAGTGGTGAGGTATAATAGCCTGCCCTTAATTGTGTTAATAATTAGTATGGCAAAACATGTAATCATGATTTTGATTATGAAGTGTATATCATTAGTCTTTGGTGTAACATTTAATGTCATTCATTATTCCAATATCTACACACAAAGTAAAATAATTTCTTTATGTATTACATTATTAACAAACAGTAGTACTAAGTGACAAACATTTTGTGGTTATACTTTTAGAAAAATAGATAGAAAGACAAGTTTCTAAAGAGAAGATCAAATATTTGTAGATATCAGATAGTGCATGAAAGTAAACATTGCAGCCTGATACATTAATGAGAAACGGGTGTTCCAGAACTAGGCTGTAATTCATTAGTACTGGTTTTAGTGCAAAGCTGTAGATTATATTCCACTTGCAAAAACTATAGTGAGAAGTATATAGTATGTGATTGCTCTTGTCATACTGCAAATGTGAAATGAAAAGAATGAAGTACTTATTTGTGTAAGTGCTGAGTTCTTCATTTATTTGTATTTGGAAAAGGTATGTTACAGAAAAATATAGATACTTTGACATTTTTATGTACTTATTACTTTGGTTTTGTCTTACAGTGCCTCATAGCTCTCATTATTATTGTGATCGATATCACAGAGCCTAAATAAATTGTATTAGAATATAGTGTCTTTTATTTTACCCAAAGTTAAAGTAATTGCAAGTAATAATAACATTAGATTAAAAAGGAAAAAATTCTTATATGTATATACAAGACATTTTTTGGAAGATATGTACTGTTCTTGAAGTACTGGTGTCAAAAAGCTGTAGCAAGTTCACTAAAAATATAATCTGAACTTCTCAGCCGAGTTGAGTCATCGTTATCCAATGAAATAATATCATAACAAATAAAATGCAAAATCCCCAACTATCAACTTATTTAGTTTATCTTTAAATTAGTTGATTATGCACACAAAGCAAAGTGCTAAACACAAAAATGTTATGTCAGACGAGAGAAGGTGGGTAACGTTTGACATCAGATCTTTGAGACGGAAAAGGAACATTTTCCACCTGGGAAGTAATCTGTTGCCTGATTTTGCAATTGGTTGATCAGGAAACGTAATGTAATAATGTAATGGTATGTACTTTATGTTGTGCACACTCCAATTGAAGTAAATTTCCGTTTTGATCTCTTGACTCTGATTAGCAACTGAGCACAGGGAAAAACTAGGTGAAGTAAAATACCCATCTATTGAGAAGTTTGAGCAGGTGGGATAGTCATTGATACTCATGAAAAGTCTAAGATCTTGTGTCAAATACCAATCTGATTTGTTTCATGGATGAGTTGAATAAGTTCTCTGGTCTGAAGTTTGCTAGGGAAGGGAAGCGCGAGAGGACTGCCAGCTGAGAAATGCGTAAATCGGCGAGAGCGACGTTGACGTCCTGAGGGGTCTGATCACCGGTTTAACCATGTAGGGGAAATGTTGGCGTTGTAGTATAAATCGGAGTTAAACGACGGAGGAATGACCTACCAAGTTAATATATGGATCTTTCATCTTTTACTGTTAGAAACGGCATCTCAGTGGATCGGCGATTGCTATTAATTGGTCTGTAATAGTATGGGATGTGACCTCTGATTAGAATAATTAGGATGCTAAGTGAATTCGAATATTTGTTGAAACAGACATAGCTTTTATCTCCTTAATGAATCATTTGAATTCCCAGCAGGCTGGTTAATATTGGTGTCTAGCGGTAGAAGGTTTTTGTCTTTTGATGAATCCTTTTCTTCGCAACAGCAGAAGAGATCTGCAGAAGGCTGTGGGAAGAAAATCCACACAGATAGACCCATGTACTCTATGACATATTCTATTAGAGTTCCTTGGAGCACCTTCCCTGAAGGCAGTTGTAGATAAGAATATCAATGAAGAAAATCGTATGCCCAGTCCTCGGGGAACGAATCACTTGGAGCATTGTGCCTCTAAGGGACAGAGTGAACGTAAATAAAGACATTCATCATCTATGGTATATCCTTCACAACTTGATAATAAGTAAGTTGTGCGACCCGTATTACTTTGGTTTAAATATATAGGAAAATGTAATGACAATATCATAAAGAAAGAGAAAAAATACGATCTCTGACACATGAAATAATCTGTGCAATTGCGTGGGGGTCCGGAGATGAAGCCCCGAAGTTAGGAAGGTTTTTGGTTCATAAGGCGATGTTTGTGGATTTCCCAGGTGTAGCTGGAGTAACAGGGAGGGATACGGTCAATTTTTTTTAAGGTAACAAAATTCATTTATATGATTTGCGATGGAAAACAACAATTGTTACAAAGTGCATAATTTAAACCATACCACCCCATATCATCACACACACACCGCTACACCATGTCACCAATATCCTGGATCTTGGTCTCACTCCAAGAGACTTGGATAGTAAAGTCAAGGTTGGTGACGTTAATATTACCCAATATTGCTTTACAGTTATTTTCGAATAGTGGCTCCACTCCATGCAAAAGTTGAAAAGTGTTGGTGCGAGAGCCATGTCTCACTCCTAAATTAACAGGAAAGAATCTAGAAGGCCCCCATCACACTTTACAGCACTTTACAGCAGATATCAGTCCAGTTATCCTTGTCGAAATTCCCCTTCTAGAGAGGGACGACCACGCCCCATGGTGGAAGCCCCATGCCATAGGTTCAACTCCAGCATTTAGCAGCTCAGTAGGGATACCGCATATGCCCTCTGCTTTTCCTCCCTTCAGCTTAGAGATCGTCTCCCTAACCTGTGCAGTTGTTCGCCAATGGACTCCTGAGTTGCTTTAAATGTTTCGAGCTTGAAGGAATCCCTCAAAATTATATAGTCCTGTTATGCGTAACGCATTGCATGTTCGCATGCATGAAATGTATGGAATGACATGGAATAGTGCCATAGTAATCCTTGCTCCAAGTGGTGTCCAGGTGGCAATTACTGGGAGGAATGCTTGTTAGCCTACCTGCCCTCCTATGGTTGCGGTGTTGGCACGGCGTATAATTTGTGTGTTAATCAATTAATTGTACACTTGTACAGACTAATAACAAATATATTGTCATTTGTATGAATTACGTGTTTCATAAACATCGCTGTGTTGTTGATAATAGTTTGTACTTGCAGCCATTGACAGTCATTAAGCCAATGCACGGCAACGCTGGTGTGTGCATGTATACGCCAAGCGAGTGCAAAAGCAGTGGCGGTTGGGCTGGCGGAGAACAAGCAAGTGTGGCGTGTGTAAGAGGTGCCCCTCTGATTGTGCTGTTCTTTTAAGTATTTGAGTGCAATCAAGTTATTATATTTATGTCGGGTTTCCTGTTTATTATTTGCTCTGTGTTGATTTCGTATACAATATTTCAAATTACTAATTATTTTAGAGAAATTGTATTATTCATGTAATGGTTTGCGTATGATTTCTACTCTTCACTCGTCTGCACATGAAAGATATAAATGTATCTGAATTGATCAAAGGTATCAAATATAGCTGACTTAATTAGATTACATAATTATATCAAGAATAATTACTTTTAATACTTAAGTAACGTTATAACTGTACTTTTATTTGCATATGCCAGTTGTTTTCTACTGGTAAAATAATTGTTTTGACATAATAGTCCAACAGAGTCGAGTGCGGCGAATGTCAGAGATAGAAACGGCGAACTTCTAGGCACACTTTTCCTCTCTGTCTCTCCAAGTGAAACACCCTGGGGTATACACTGGAAAGATGGGAGATTTTGAAGTAGACCTGGAGGGTAGCCAAAGTCGGCATTCCGGTAAACCCTGCAGTTCTGGAGGTTCCTACAGCGAGTGCTAACAACGATTTTCATTTAGGTTGCGCCAAGGAATAAGTTACTAACTTGTCAGATTGCTAGGTTTTTATTTTAATTTGAATATATTTCAGTCTCTTAAAGCATTGAAACACGAATTTGAAAATTTGTGCCCAGAAATTTGGATTTTTGGTCATATATTAAATATTTGAAACATGAGGCATCTTCATCCAGTCTTTACCAAATCTAACCTAACCATGTGTTAGTGTGTGCATGTACCTGTGCATAAAAGTGTGCACAGTATATCCCATATTGACGTAAAAGCATTAGCATAATCTATTTCTCACTTTATATGCCACTCCTTCGTTAATTTTTTCATGATATAGCACCCCTCATCCCCTATGATTCAAATTTGGCCTCACTTTAAGTGAGGCCAGACAGGAGGCAAACAGATGAAGTTTTTCTCTTACTCCGAACTCCAATATTCTTCACTCTGCCCCTCCCCCTCCGTCCCAAAATGGTTTACATCCCCCCAGTATCTCTTCTACCCCCTCTCTCCCTCTGTCTTTTTGCCATTCTAAAGCCAGACACCAATATCTACCGCAATTCAGAAACCAGACACTCTAATCCACTTCCCTATTACTTACCCCCTCCTCCTCACTCAACTCATTGCATAAAAGAAGCCAAACGTTCTACTTCATATTTTACCGCATCCTCTCCTACACCCTCTTCCTCCACCCCTCATACTCGCGAGGATATTTAAAACTATCTAATCGTGACCCAAGCTAACATACCTACCTCAGAGTAGCTGCTAATATCCATCCATCTCCTACTAATGTTCCCCCTACACCCCTTCCTCCCATTCCCTTACAACACACCTCATTTCCCCCTGCTTCATCTACATCACCCCACCTTCTTTACCTGTTATCTCTTCCGCTTTCCCCTGAATACACACAACTCCCTTATGTCATAACAACCCCTTCCCTAAATACTCTCCCTCCTGACATTTTTCATGAAACTGGTCTATTGCCCTTAAATGCCCCCTTCTCCTTTTGCTAATCACTACCTCATCCTTTCAAAATCCCACATTTCTTCCTTTGACAACATTGCTCTCATCACCCTTGTTTAATCCCTACCTCACCCCTCTTTGTCTATTTCAATTCATGAACTTCTATACAACTTTTGAATTGTAGGACATTGAATCCTCGAATAACCCCCACCCTTTCACCCTTTTCACTACTGCATCTGTTTATTTTGCTTTGTAACCATTACTCACAAAACCGACAACCCAGCAATACATATTAGGTTATTTATAACCAGTGTTGATTGTATACGATCAGTTATCTTAGTCTTATATATATGCATAGACACTGTAATGGCATTCATGAATAAAAGTAAAGATTAACCCCAATATATTCATAAATGCAGGCAACTGTACCCCTCAAAAACAAACATAAAATACAAGCAATATAGAATCCATGCAAGACCTAATTCTGAAGTGTCTTTGTGGGATTTACCATTCTGAGTGTAGAGGGAATGGGAGATTGAAAGGGTGGATGAGAGATAGGCATGGTTTATAGGTCATGATTAGAAAGTGTTGAATGTCCTCAAAGGTTCTGTGAGGGAGTTGGTCTGAGAAATGAAGGTCGTTTTATGAGGGGTAGAAAAGGGGGATTGACATCTGAGGAGAAGAGGAGGTAGGTTCCAATGATGGGCGGAACATTTAGATTATCTGATATGATGGTAGAGCAAGGAGGACTAGTATGCATTGAGAAAGTGGTAGCGACTGGAGTGTCTGACTTTAGAATAGCAAAAGAATTTGACTGGGAGGAGGGGGTAGAAGTGGGAATGTAAAGAGTAGGAGGAAGAGATACTGGGGAGATATAGAAACATCTTAGGGAGAAGGGGAAGGGATAGAGTAAAGGGCAGCACTGGAATAGGGAGCATGCCTAGCCTCATGTAAAGTAAGGCCGAGTTTCAATCCGAGGACTGCTATGTCAGACTCGAACTTGTAGGTAGGGGAGCCACCATAACTGGCACACTGCACAGGGCAGTTTGACACATAGCAGGCAGCAGGGTGTGGAATGACACTGCTTGTCTGGGTTGCTAAAACACTAACATTTCTGACATCAATGGTGGATGTATCAATATGATCAGACAGAGCAGGACTCTCCAGCAATATAAACTTCATAGGAAAGGTCATGTCTATGAAAGGTAATCTTGGTAATATTGAAGTAGGATTTTCTGCAACCCCTAGTGTAGCAGTCTACCGATACTGAATCATAGGCAACGAGGCAGGCAAGTAGGTCATTTTCAGCCCGAAAAATCCTTGTTGTAGACGGGACAATCAGGCGGGGAGATAATACTTATACCAAAACTGGTTCTAAGGGAGGAGTAAGGCTGGGCTGGAATAGGATTGCTAGTGAGGTGTGTCAGGGTAGATAATGATTGAGCTAGGAACTCAAATGTAATTGTGGCAAGGTGTAAGTGATTGGAACTAGTACGGAAGGAAACTTTGCCTACTAGTTTTTGGAGACATTGGGTGAAGGGGGCTGTAAAGGGAATCACAAAAAAATTGATCCCCACTTAGCTGGGCCAAAAAACAGGGTACTCAAAAGATTTCTTGAGGTTCTAGCTGAAGGATGAGGACAGGGAGGAAGAGGAAGTGAGGTAGCACTGTGGGGGAGGGAACAATAAGGATGGGTAGTAGTAATAAGAGAAGAGGTTGTTGGTGGAGAGGTGGTGGTTTTGAGAGAGGAGCGAATATTTTGGGATTCCTTGCAATTTTGCGTTTTGCACTTGCCACTGGGGAAGTTCCAAATACTCCAACTCAGATATAAATACCAATGCATGTACATTGTAAAAAAAAAAAAAAACAAGAAAATAACCTAGATAACTTCCCTATTATCTGAATTCACTCTCATTTAATTAGGCAAAAAATTGGGAGGAGGCTGCTACTATATCTTATAGGAAAGTTCATTGCCAAAAGGATGCAAAAAATGTATATCCAATAATGCATGTTAATCCATTTGGAAAGTATAGTTTATAAATGGATATATATATTTAGTAGAAAATGCTTGGCCTATCAGTGGTATCAGAAGGTATAAAAATATAGGTATATATAAAAAACACTTTTAATTAACCAGCTAACATAATCTAGTGATACAACTTGCTTACAAACAAACATATCTCCAGTAGTCAACACTCATAAAGGATTAAACCTGTAGGATTCTGAATGAGTACATTTCAAACATATCTGAACATATACACAAATTTTGTGAGGAATAATGTCTAAAAATGCAACCCCTAGTGTAGCAGTCTACCGATACTGAATCATAGGCAACGAGGCAGGCAAGTAGGTCATTTTCAGCCTGAAAAATCCTTGTTGTAGACGGGACAATCAGGCGGGGAGATAATACTTATACCAAAACTGGTTCTAAGGGAGGAGTAAGGCTGGGTTGGAATAGGATTGCTAGTGAGGTGTGTCAGGGTAGATAATGATTGAGCTAGGAACTCAAATGTAATTGTGGCAAGGTGTAAGTGATTGGAACTAGTACGGAAGGAAACTTTGCCTACTAGTTTTTGGAGACATTGGGTGAAGGGGGCTGTAAAGGGAATCACAAAAAAATTGATCCCCACTTAGCTGGGCCAAAAAACAGGGTACTCAAAAGATTTCTTGAGGTTCTAGCTGAAGGATGAGGACGGAGGAAGAGGAAGTGAGGTAGCACTGTGGGGGAGGGAACAATAAGGATGGGTAGTAGTAATAAGAGAAGAGGTTGTTGGTGGAGAGGTGGTGGTTTTGAGAGAGGAGCGAATATTTTGGGATTCCTTGCAATTTTGCGTTTTGCACTTGCCACTGGGGAAGTTCCAAATACTCCAACTCAGATATAAATACCAATGCATGTACATTGTAAAAAAAAAACAAGAAAATAACCTAGATAACTTCCCTATTATCTGAATTCACTCTCATTGAATTAAGCTAAAAATTGGGAGGAGGCTGCTACTATATCTTATAGGAAAGTTCATTGCCAAAAGGATGCAAAAAATGTATATCCAATAATGCATGTTAATCCATTTGGAAAGTATAGTTTATAAATGGATATATATATTTAGTAGAAAATGCTTGGCCTATCAGTGGTATCAGAAGGTATAAAAATATAGGTATATATAAAAAACACTTTTAATTAACCAGCTAACATAATCTAGTGATACAACTTGCTTACAAACAAACATATCTCCAGTAGTCAACACTCATAAAGGATTAAACCTGTAGGATTCTGAATGAGTACATTTCAAACATATCTGAACATATACACAAATTTTGTGAGGAATAATGTCTAAAAAAATGATAGTGACTTTTATCTGCTAAAACATAAGATAAGAAACATCTTATTAATGACTGATCTTTGGATAGCACTTACATTAGCTTTGTACAAATAGTTATATTAATACCATCTGAGTTCTATTAAATTTCCCTTAATAACTATGATCACATCAGACAGGACAAAGGAGTTTAAACAGTGTTATTTAAATTTGCTAACTTTACCAAACAAATCTGATATTTTGTTCTGCCGTAATTTTTCATTCCAGGTGACAACTATCATATCATATACCATATTTCTACCCAATTATTCTTCTGTAACAATTTATGAGTTAAGTTTCTACATTCATATCCATTTTTTTTAATGTATTACAAACATGTTGTATCTCACAATGAATAATAACTCCTTCAAGAATTTTTTTTTGTTTAATTCACCTGCACAGTTAGCTGTGCTCACAATATAACAAAATGATAGTGACTTTTATCTGCTAAAACATAAGATAAGAAACATCTTATTAATGACTGATCTTTGGATAGCACTTACATTAGCTTTGTACAAATAGTTTAGTTATATTAATACCATCTGAGTTCTATTAAATTTCCCTTAATAACTATGATCACATCAGACAGGACAAAGGAGTTTAAACAGTGTTATTTAAATTTGCTAACTTTACCAAACAAATCTGATATTTTGTTCTGCCGTAATTTTTCATTCCAGGTGACAACTATCATATCATATACCATATTTCTACCCAATTATTCTTCTGTAACAATTTATGAGTTAAGTTTCTACATTCATATCCATTTTTTTAATGTATTACAAACATGTTGTATCTCACAATGAATAATAACTCCTTCAAGAATTTTTTTTTGTTTAATTCACCTGCACAGTTAGCTGTGCTCACAATATAACAAATACCTAAAAAAAAAAAAAAAGACAAATAAAAAATAATCATTTACTCCAGAAAACTCTCTTCTACTATGTGCATATTTTAACACAACTAAGGACACCAAAAAACATCTATTCACTTGTGTCTTGAGCAAAACCTTTGGTTCCTTTCACTTAGAAAAAACTAAAAATGCCATGAGTTATTTCTTATATATAATACATATATACAAAATGTAAATGCAAGTGAATGCTACTTCTGTAAAAGGCACAGAATGCAAGCACTATTTCAAGCATTCCTAATTTCTGGACATCTACAGCTTAATACAAAGAGATTTGGTTCAATATATTTACAATGCTCCCTCTCATATTCGCCCCCACATCATAAACATATCTGAACAAAAGACATATATCCACAAACACAAATACACAAACACATAAATAGTCATTCACTCACTATGGTAGGCTAACAAATTTTGTACATCCAATGATTTCACTCTTACACAAACAACTTTGTCAACTGTGACTGATAAAACAAAGGATGAAGTCTCTAATCACCAACTGTATTTATACATAATAAATATAAACAAGTCAAACGGAATACAAGCATTAAGCAAGATTCTCCACACTATTCAATCTTCCATTCATTAACCACTTCTGGGGGTACCATGCAAGAGGAATTATATAAGGCTACCTCTCCATTACACCATTTTTGTAAAGGTAAACAGATATTCGAACTTCACACATGGCAGCCTGCTTTATGTGGGACGGAATATGGCATTAACATTTATGTTGTTTCTTTCAGAGACTATTGGAAACCATTTAGTATGAGATGCTTCCACTCAGCTGAGCTCTACAACAAAGAGACTTCATAATAAGCTACTTTGCAGGAGTACAAGATTGAAAGCCTCTTAAAAATATCTGGTCCACCTGTAATCAAACATCTACAGTGTACAGATGCCAATTATAACCTTGAAGGATTTTATTCCTCTGAGAAGTGCCTAACAATGCAAATTCTTATTTCATTGAAAGTGTCTCTGAATTTTATTTTCCTGCAATCGCTGTAAGAAGCATACCCACACATGATATCACTGCCAAATATCAGCATACAAAAATGTTAAGCAATAGCTCATTAGTGTCACAATATGGACCAACAGGAGATAAAATGACACTAGTTAATAAACTAGTAACCATACCTGGGAAAATCAGGTTACAGCATAAGGGCAGTTAGTAGAAGTCCAAATGTTGACCTATGGAAAATTAGTTTCTCTGTTTTTAAATCTTGCAAATGACTTTTTTTTCTGTATCAAACGATTTCAATTATAATATGCTTCAAAGTAAAACAATCTTCTGCTGATGCTGCTATATATATATATATGGTGATTTCTAAACTCCTGTCCTCATACAAAAACTTGCATACATTTACTGCACCTAATGAACTAATGCCTACAAACTTCCTCGTAGAAAGTTTTTAAAAGATATTATGAAGGTATTATGGTCAGTTTTGCAGCCGATTGTAAGCGAAGTCCTGTTTCACAACTTCCTCACATAACAGCAACTTTTGTGTTAACAGGCTCCGCTATACCACCCCAGCGAAGCTTGAACGACTTGTGACGCCAGCTGATAACAGGGTTCCATACGGCGTGCACAAAAATGAAGATAGCGCTTATTTCTCGGAACAACCAGCTGATCACAAATTCGAACTTGCTGAAGGGAGGAGGCCCATTCTGGAAAGAAGAAAACCTCTTTAAGTGCCACTTCATAAAACAGGCACAAAATAATGGACTCGGTAAAAGAACTCAGTCAAGCATGCTATTTCATACTTTAAGACAAGTTAATCAACCCAGAAATAAAATATTTCATACCAATCTTCTCAAAATTAATACTAACATTAAAGGAATTACAAGAGATAAAAAAAAAAAAATGTGATGATTGATGAGGACATGAAAAAATGCACAAAAAAAAACTTACTTGCACTATATTGAGCATAATCCAGTCAGCAAGGGACCACGTAAGTGTGTGGAACAAAAAGAAGGTGAGGTAGTCTGCACGCAGTAAAACAGCACCCGCCCAGGATGCTATAAGCCCCAGCACCATACATTCACTGAGCGGCTCAAGAAACAAAGTGTGTGGTACCATAGCTATACGTAATTTACACCATCTGCAAAAAGAGAAAACCATTTTTCTTCATGTTTATGGGAAGCCCTCAAGAATCCTTCGCAATTTAGGACTTTAAATATTCAATCGAAACTCTCAAAAGTAGCATCACATCCACCTTAATTAGCTATTAGGAAATTCTATGCTTTTCTATTTCTAGAACGCCTGCCTATAACAGGAATTTTCTACTATCATAACTACCTTGATAATGATCAAATAGCTGAACAAAGTTTCACCCCTACATATCTAATAAACCAGAGAAATAGATTTGGTATCTTTACACTTTTTACTATTTACACAGCTTTATTAAAAAAACTGACATTTGTATATCATTTAGAGCAATGAAATTACTGAAAATAAGAGGACTTGCGGTTAGCCTGGGAGATATCCAAAAGCAAATCATCTTGACAACTTAAATTATATATCTTAGTGTTTTCAGGTCTCTGACATAATAATTTTGGTCCTCTTTTGTAAATATTTGAACCCACATCCTAAAAACTGCCATGATTACCTGAGGGCAAAGGCTTTGTCGGGAAATATTTACCTTGGGGAAACTAAAACTCTAACTAACTGGTACCTCTCTACAGAAATAAGTATATACTACTAAAAACAAATCTTCATGGTATCAATAACCACTCAAATAACATTTAATAATCTAAAATGAAATAATCATGCATAACCCCCCTTTCATTTAACATCTGCTTTGACAATTTGCCAGAGTTAGTCAACCAGCAACCACCTACACCAAAGGATATGTACATGAATAGCAGATTATTCACTAAAAAATAAATAACAATAAATAAATAAATAAAATACCTTGTTAATCTTGACAGAAAACCCTTCACTCGGGTTGTCCCAGCATTCTGACATGCTGGCTGAGAAGAGATGCGAATGCCCCATCCTCGGCCCTGAATGTACTTAGCAAAGAAGTAGTCCTCAGCTAAGTATACGCCAAAAGCACTAATGCCTGCGGAAGCAATTTCAATTAATTATTTTCTTAGAAATTCACGCCGGAAAAATAAAATAATAATAAATAAATCATAATAAATTGCATACATTACATAGCATATACCAACTATTAGCTGAACATTCTTTATATGTAAAACTGACCTCCATCCTCATCCAGGACCTTCTTCCTCATCAGGCAGGACATGCCGGTACAGCAGTTGACTCTCAAGCCAAAAGCGTCCAAGAGTCCAAGGAAAAGATACATCCTTGCATGACTTGTCCCAAAGTATACCTAAAAGATAGAACGTGGTTGCTTAATTTTCTGTCGTGTGGATTATTTAGGTTTACACACACGCACGCATGCACATATACGCATTATATTTGACAGGTTTCAATGTGTATATATATACATGTGTATATATACACACATGTGAATATATATACGCACACACGTGCACACGCACACACACACACACACGCACACACGCACACACGCACACACACACACACACACACACACGTACACACACGTGCACATACGCACACACATGCACATACACACACACCTGCACATACACACACACATGCACATACACATGTGTGTGTATCGTATGCATAGTTTATATACATACATACATATACTTACACATAAATACATATACTCAAAAATACACAAACAGACACACACACACGCACACGCACGCGCACACACACAAAATAAGCAAAACTTTTAATGAACATGCACTTCAGGTTACATTATTTTATAAGTGCCAATTTGGAACCATTTTTCTTTGATCCGTTTTTTCCCGCTATTTATAATTTCACAGAGCAGCACATCGGCAAGCAAAACTGAATGAAAATTGAGCTGCCTGCAGATAATCAAACCTGCCCCGCCCTCACAGCTGCCGAAAAGATATGCAAAAATGTTTCTCAGGGTTAATCACAACTTCCAGTTCTTAAAACCACCGTTGGCTATATACTGTATATATGTACTTGTATACGCAGCGAAAAAATAATCCGATCTTCACTTAAATAATTGTATTGATGGCTTCATATCATCTGCAGGAAAGAAGATAAACATGCGTCCACATACACACACGTAGTTAAGACATATAACAGACATTTATATATATATATAAAAGGAAATGTAAAATATGAGGAATAAAACCACATAGTCCAGCACACACAAACTGCTATCCCCCGTCTGCCCTGGAGTAATTAACATGCAAAGTTCATGGACTTAACAGACCCACTCTTCTTCTCCCCGGCCCATTCTCCTGCCCCGCTCCTTCCCTCCAGCACCCCGAGGGCAGGTTCAATAAGGAAAGAATTGATCATGTGAGCATTTTCCACCACACCATCCACTGATATCCACAAGTCACGCCCACCCGCTGCTTATCAGAAACTTATCAGGAGAGTATCCGCTAATGATAAGTCCATAAAATAATTCAATGAAACCCTTGTTGATTAAAATGTGTGTGTGTGTGTGTGTGTGTGTGTGTGTGTGTGTGTGTGTGTGTGTGTGTGTGTGTGTGTGTGTGTGTGTGTGTGTGTGTGTGTGTGTGTGTGTGTGAGAGAGAGAGAGAGAGAGAGAGAGAGAGAGAGAGAGAGAGAGAGAGAGAGAGAGAGAGAGAGAGAGAGAGAGAGAGAGAGAGAGCGAGCGTGTAACCTCATTCCAATTTTTCCTACTTGATAAATCATTTACAAAATGACAAGAAATGACTGGAATAACCCATGGTCCCCTTGTGTTAATGCTAAACATACAAAAACCGTCCAAGAATGCAAATGTAAACAAAAGAATCACTATAAAACAAGCGCCGTGAATCCCTTCGGCATTTTCATTACACACGCAAAATAGCGCAAGTCGTGCATGCCTCTTGAAACGCCAAGGCTGGCGCTCGAGACGAGCCATTCATTCTCCGAGACTATATATCCTTACGACCTGAAACCTCGCAAACTTCTCTTCATCAATTCGCAATGACATTCTGCGCATGTTTCAAGACGATTTTTACGAGGCTCCACGTATGCACGAAAAGTGGCATGAATTTTGCGTAGTGTTTGAAGCCCGCCAGTGCCCGCCCGATTCTCGCCGCTCTGCCAATACTGGATGTGCAACCAGATAACCTTGCCCGAGGCACTCTGGCCTTTGCCTAGCTACAGTGCGGCTCCGACCCGTGCAAAGATCTACTCAAGGGGCAAATATATAGGAGAAATATGCTAATACCCAGGGCAATGCTGTAACTTCAGTTCCCATATATTCGTATACGTTTGATAAATGGATAAGAATCAATATTTCTACATATATCAGTAACCCCTTCCTCGTTTACCCTCCTGAGGCGCGGGGATAGCAAGTTAACAGATTCGTAATGGAGAATACTTTAACGTGCAAGTATTGTTTTTTTTTTTAATATTGCTTCCTTAAGCACAGTTTTACTTTGCATGTATAAAACCAAGTTCAACGAGCACATTTTCACAAGCTTCCTTTGGGTCAAGACAGATCTCGATTGTACATTCATTTCTAGTTAAAACAAAGGCGAGGACACACATACACACACACACATACCCAGGTCACCCCCACCCCCGCTCTCCGACGACGCTCACCTTTTCCAGTATAGCAGGCCACCCCTTCCTGTCGCAAGTGAAGGGCATTTGATGGACGATGCCCACGTCGGGCGTCATGTGGGCCACCATGTCCGTGAGTGTGTCCTCCTTCATGAGGAGGCCTGAGTCGGACACCAGCACCAGCTCGTGCTTGGCCGCAAGGTACCCGGGCTGCATGTTGTTGATTTTGGGGTTGACGCCGACCTCCACGCCACCTGCGGAACAACAGGGCGTCTGAGATTTGTCGCAGCTGCATCATGGATCAAGCCAGTGGCAAACCGTCGTGGGAAAATGTGTGGAAGATCACAAAAGAGTAATATATGCATGGCGGAAGAACAAAATGTATCCCCCACCAAAGAATGAATGAATGAATGAATGAATAAATAAATAAATAAATACAAAGAGAATAACAACGATGTTAACGGAAGTACTAGAAACAACAATCACAATCATAACTGATATCTGATGGTCATCATGGCAATACCATCGCTAAGGTAAAGCAACAAAGAATATCTTAAGGCATAAGGATAGGCTCCTCACCTATGAAGTACGAAGCGTCGACATGCGGGTGCTTTTTCATAAGCTGCTGCACGATCATGATGCTTGGGTCGCCCTCCTCCTGGATGCAGAAGAGGAGCTCGAACTGTGAGGTGGGGGAAAAAAACAAGTGTTATTGATACTTTCACTGTTCTGAAACGATATCCCCCCCCCCAACAGGGATCAAAGAGAAAAATTGTCTTTATGATTTGCCGGCATGTTTTCTTTCCTCGTAGATACACACTCACACACACACACACACACACACACACTCACACACACACTCACACACACACTCACACACACACACACACACACACTCACACTCACACTCACACTCACACTCACACACTCATACTCATACTCATACTCATACTCATACTCATACTCATACTCATACTCATACTCATACTCACACTCATACTCATACTCATACTCATACTCATACTCACACTCACACTCACACTCACACACACACACACACACTCACACTCACACTCACACTCACACTCACACACACACACACACACAGAAACCACAGTCGGTCAAAACGTGTTCGCTTCCCTTGCGTCACCGCATAACGTTATGAGTTCAAGTCCGGTATTAACCAAAACCGTTTCATTTTCCCGTCAACTTCAAGTCCCTGTTGCCCAGCCAGTCGGATAATTAGGCCTTGTTCTATGCGATATTCGAGAAGGAATTTTGCTATTTGACATATTAAACAATTTTTCTCCTCCTTGGCAATGGTATTACCTGTATAACCAGTTGTTTTTTTTATGTATGTAATGTCCTCGGGATAATGGATGCGTAGCGAGTATTGTGATGTAAAATAGTTTTTTTTTTATAATTAAAACAGCGGGTTTTTCATAATTTTCGCAATCCTCCCATCTAAATTCGACACCAATGCGGCATTATCAATGAACATTACGGGCGGCAGTTCGATATCTTAATTCCCAATACACTCCAGTAAGCTATAATCGCACCGATATTACCAACACTACACCACTAACACTGAACTACCAAGCACTTAATTGTCGATTAAAAATAAAGAGAAGGAAGAAGATAGAAGAAGAGGAAAACGAAGAAAGAAAAGAAAAGAAGAAGAAGATGAAGAAGAAGAAGAAGAAGAAGAAGAAGAAGAAGAAGCACAAGATGATGATGAAGATGAAGAAAGAAGAAGGAAAAAGATGAAGAAAGAAGACAAAGAACATATAAGAAAAGATAAGAAGACATACATGACGGCGCGTTAGCATCACAAGGTCACACAGAGAGAGAGAGAAAAAAAAAACAATGCCGTTTACCCTGGCTTTGGCTCCGTAGTAAAGCGGCTCAAAACAAAAGTGCAACCCGACTTCACAACCGGGCCTTTGTCCCTCCCCCCGTTCTCGCTCGAACCAGGCCATCGCCTCTTCAAACTGGCAACGCGGGGGCCTCCTTTTCTAACCTTCCATTACCCTTCCCCTTTCCCTCCTCCCCCCCCCAGCCCTCCCCTTATCCAACACCCTCCACCCCCCCCCCCACTCTCACTTTCCCACCCTCCTCCACCCGCCCTCCCACCCTCACACCTCGCGACCTACGGCAACGCTATCCACGCCCACCTCATGGATACTTGTAGACGGGCGCCGTGCGTGGGAGGTCTTCAATTCTCTCAATTTTCCGGCAGATGTTTCTCGTGCCGCCGGTGGTAAGGGTGCCTTTTGGCAGTGGAGAGAGCGAGGGGGGAGGGAAGGGAGGGGAGAGGGAAGGGAGGGGGGAGGGAAGGGAGGGGAGAGGGAAGGGAGGGGAGAGGGAAGGGAGGGGGAGGGAAGAGAGAGAGGAGGAAAGGGAGAGAGGAGGAAAGGGAGGGGGAAGGGGAGAGAGGAGGGAAGGGAGGGACGAGGGAAGGGAGGGACGAGGGAAGGGGGGATGGGAAGAAAATGAAGAGAAAGGAGGGAGGAGGCAGGAGGGAGAGCGAGTGACCAAAAGAGTGACCAAAGTGAGAAAGAGAAAGAAAAAGAGGGAGGGAGGGAGGGAGGGAGGGAGGGAGGGAGGGGGGGAGGGAGGGAGGGAGGGGGAGGGAGAGGGAGAGGGAGAGGGAGAGGGAGAGGGAGAGGAACAGGGATAGGGATAGGGTTAGGGACAAGGGACAAGGGACAAGGGACAGGTTACAGGGGACAGGAGAGGGAGAGAGAGAGAGAGAGAGAGAGAGAGAGAGAGAGAGAGAGAGAGAGAGAGAGAGAGAGAGAGAGAGAGAGAGAGAGAGAGAGAGAGAGAGGGGGGGGGGGGGCAGGGAAAGAGAAAGAGAGAGAGAGAGGGGAACAGGAATAGGGATAGGGATAGGGATAGAGATAGGGACAGGGGGAGGGACAGGGACAGGGAGATTATACATATATATATATATATATATATATATATATATATATATATATATATATAGAGAGAGAGAGAGAGAGAGAGAGAGAGAGAGAGGTAGAGGTAGAGGTAGAGGTAGAGGTAGAGATATTAGAGATAGAGATAGAGATAGAGATAGAGGTAGAGGTAAAGATAGAGATAGAGGTAGAGGTAGAGATAGAGGGAGAGAGGAACAGGAAGAGTATGAGCAGAAACACGAGAGGAAAAAGAGAAGGAAAACCAAAGGAAATCGGAGAGAGGAAGCAAGGAGCAGAAGGGACGAAGGATGCAGCGGCGGCGGCGGCGGCGAAGAAGGAACGAGGGGGGGGGGGGCGGCGCCGAGTAAAAGTGGCGTTCACGAGAGGACCGAGTGGAAGGCCGGCTGTGGCCACGTGATCACCGTCCGTGGGGCCCGAGTCCCCCTCCCTCCTCCGCCGCCATCGCCAAGGTCATGCCTGGCCATAGAGCCTCTTGCCCCGCTCCTCCAATCTGGGTCAAGGCCAGCATTTGCTCCCCCCCCCCCTCCCTTGCTTGCACGCGTACTTGGTTCAAACACAAGCGAAAGTCTTGCCATTCACACCCTAACCGGTTCCTCCGGTGCGGCGGCGTGGTCACGTGACTAGCCAGGCTCCTACTGGTGGCTCCTCGCCCCCTTCCGGCCGGGTTATCAACGCTCCCTCTTCCCTCTTTCCGTCCTCCTCAACTTCTCCCTTCTTTCCTACGTCCTCTCCCTCTCCTTTCCCTCTCCTTTCCCTCTTCTCTCGTTCTTATCCCGGCCATGTCCTCTCGAGTGGAACCTGGGGTCTATATTTAACCCCGTATCTCCCCCTTCCCTTCCCCCCCCCTCTCTTCCCTCGTCAACATACATCCCGGGCGACGTCATCTGCTCCGCGGGTGACACGAGAGAGAACACCAGTGCTTCCCCCCCCCCCCCCCCCCCCGCCAGCCCGCCCTCCCTCGTCGCTCGCTTCCTACGTCCAACGAGCGGAGGAGAAACGCCAGCAGGAGTTCTCACGGAGGTCTACACCGAGTGGCCGACGGCGCGACGCCATCCCCCTCTCCCCCCCTCTCCCCCTCTCCCCACACACACAATGAAAAAAAAAAGAAAAAAAGAAATAAAGATCAGCTCTGCATACCGAGATCCTTTTCCTGTTACTACCTGGGCAAGGTTTTTTGGCGGGATCAGCTTGGCGGCAGTTCTAATCCCGTAGCGACTTCGGCAACACACTATACTTGGGACACGGTAGAGGTAGTGCCACTAGGCAACATTCTGCCATGCGGGGAGAAGAAAAATTGGCACTACGAACCGCTAGACACTTACAGACTTTAAAGACCGATGTTTACCTGTCTTAGTACTTGCGGATTTACCGTGGCTCGAACTAAAACAATAATAATGATAATAAAAATAAAAACTACAATAATAATGATGAAGAAAAAAAAACAATGCCATGATAAGTTCCCTCCCCCCCCCATCCCCTTCGTCCCTCCACGCGGAAATCCAAGGCCCTTCCTTCCACCAGTCTCCATCCGCCACGAAAGCATCCAACAAGATCGAACAACGACCCAAAAAGAAGAAAAAATAATACAAAATAAAAAAGGAAGAAGAAAATAAAAGAAATGAGAAGAAAAACAAAAACAAAACAAAACAGTATCCTTCTCGCCACCAAGATTTCCACCACGACGCTTTCATTTTATAACGGCGCCTCCTCGCCTCCTCGCCTCCTCGCCTCCCTCTCCTCCGCGGTTCCCTTTTCCTCTTTTCCGCTCCGCGATTTTCCTTCCTCTCACCCTATTCCCAGGTCTCCACGCGTTCGAGGGGTAAGTGTGAGCAAGAATGTGAGTGTGAGAGCAAGAATGTGAGTGTGAGAGCAAGAATGTGAGTGTGAGAGCAAGAATGTGAGTGTGAGAGCAAGAATGTGAGTGTGAGAGCAAGAATGTGAGTGTGAGAGCAAGAATGTGAGTGTGAGAGCAAGAATGTGAGTGTGAGAGCAAGAATGTGAGTGTGAGAGCAAGAATGTGAGCGTAAGTGTGAGAGTATGTGAGTGAGTGTGTGTGTGTGAATAAGAGTAAGAATGTTTGTGAGTGTGAGAGTAAGACAA